TGACCAGGCTGGCAAGGAGGGAGCAGTTGGGAGTGATCAGGCTGGTAGGGGGGCAGTTAGGGGTGACCAGGCAGGCAGGCAGGCGTGGTCCAGGATTAGGTGCCCGTGGTCCAGGATTGTGAGATGAATCAGGATCAGGCCTAAATAAGCAATCAGACATCCCCCAAGGGGTCCCAGATTGGAGTGGGTGCAGGCTGGGCTGAGGGGACTCCCCCAACCTCCATGAATTTTGTGCACCAGACCTCTAGTCTATATATATAAAAGCCTATGCGAACATTCCACCATTTGACCAGCTATGACATGCACTGACCACCAGGGAACAGATGTTTAACCCACAGACATGGAAACATGAGACTGATGAATCTGAGGGAAGAGGGGAGGGTGGAGGGTGGAAAGAGATTAACCAAAGATCTTACGCGTATATGCACACTAGAAGCCCAATATAAGGATTCCTGCACTGGTGGAATCTCTTGGCCTGGCCTCTAGGTATCAGGCTGAAACTGGCAGTCTGACATCCCCTGAGGGGCCCCAGATTTGCAGGACAAGAGACCCCACCAGTGCACAAATCAGTGCACCGGGCTTCTAGTGTAATATAAAATATTCACAAGTTCTTGGGATTAGGATGTAGACATTCTGGGCGGGGAGAGGAGGGAATATTATTCTTCCTACAATGGTTTTCCAGTGCCTGATCATCCTGGTTGTCAAGGACTTCGTCACTATTGATCCCAATATACTCTCCTGCCTTTCCTCCAAAACTCTGCTCTTTGTAGCCTCAGTTCCAGCCACACAGTCTGTCAGCTGATCCCCCCCAAATACCCCATCCTGGAAGAGCTCCACGGCTGTACTCCTAGCATTTTCTCCTCCTGAGGTTCTCATACCTCACCACCTTTCCTCCCAAAATGAAACTTGAATTCATTCTCAAAACTGTGGCAGATGTTTCATTTTTTGTGAAGCTTTACCTCTAACCTTTCTTCTCTAGATGTTTATATCATAGCAGAGAGAGAGAGAGAAGAAAACAAAACAAAACTTAGAGCAAAAATGAAACATATAGCTTCTAATCACCCACTTTCTCTGGTTCTACATATAGAAGGCCGGTTTTAAAAATTCACAATTTCTTTGCCATCCAATGTATATGTTGATGCAAAAGCAAATGTCTGGAATTGCCAAAGTTTTTCTCATTTATATTTAACCAATTTAAAATTATCATTTTAAATTTCCACACTACAATTGATCCTTGAACAGCATAGGGTTAAGGCAGTGGTCGGCAAACTCATTAGTCAGCAGAGCCAAATATCAACAGTACGACGACTGAAATTTCTTTTGAGAGACAAATTTTTTAAACTTAAACTTCTTCCAACGCCACATCTTTGACTCGCCCAGGCTGTGATATTTTGTGAAAGAGCCACACTCAAAGGGCCAAAGAGCCGCATGTGGCTAGTGAGCCTCAGTTTGCCGACCACGGGGTTAGGGACACCAACATTCCACAAAGTCGAAAATCCATATACACTATTTGAATCTCCTCAAACTTTACTAATAGTCCACAGCAGACCAGAAGTCTTAGCAATAACATAAACAGTTGGTTAGCACATACTGTTTCTAGGCCATATGCTAAATGTATTATATACTGTATTCTTGCAAGAGAGTAAGCTAGAGAAAAAAAATGTTATTAAGAAAAATTATAATGAAGAAAAATACATTTACTGCATTACTGAAAAAAATCCATGTATAAGTGGACCCATGAATTTCAAACCCATGTAGTTCAGGGGTCAATTATCATTTTAAATGACTTTCTTCTTGTCCTTCAGAATTTCCTTGAGTCCCGGCTTTTATACCAGCTGCCTCTATTCATTCAGTAGCATCAGTAAATCTTTTGACCTAAAAACACAATCATTAATCATGATGAATCCTTTTGGTTCTTATTTTAGTTTTCTTGCAAAATAGATGAGGACATTTTTATAAGGCAGTAGCTTTGACCCTGTCTATACATTAAAACCACTTCCAGAACTGTTTCATTAATGCCCAGGCCCAACTAAGATCAAGTCTGAATTTCTGAGGGCTGGACCCAGTGAGAAATTTTTTAAAGCTTCCCCGGTGATTCTAACGTGTAGTTATAGTTAAGAATCAAAGTCCTTGGCTCACACAAGTCACCAAGAAATAATGCAGCGGTGGGACAGCAGCAAGCAGAAGCTGATCCCAAATTTAGATTTTAATAGAATCAATTCACAGATCAGATATTGCCCTTTAACATTGTGTTACCTGACTGGATACAGCAATCACTTTAGATAATGATATGATTGAAAACATACATAAGTTGAACAAGACTTGAAGAAATTTTAAATAAAGTATTAGTCAAAAGTCAAATGTATTCATGCCATCTCCTTTAGTACTCTACGGCTTAAGAAGTTATATATTTGCGATATGTTTTCCTTTCCCTGCCTTTCCCTATAATTAAGACAACAAAGTGAAAGGAGGGGGACAGTCCTTGTTCTCTTTTTTTCTAAGAAGTGATATCCTGCCTGATTTCGTGTGGTTGTGGGTCATGAAGACCAGATGTGGGGTGAGTAGGATCCATGGACTGGAGGGAACCCAGACATTGCAGACAAAGGGGCGTGGGGTGGGAAATGGGCCTTCAATAACGTGGTAAGGTGAGGCAAAAACAGTGACGTAAGCAGCCGGAATGCAAGGGCCCTGAGCAGCGGGTCTTGCCCGGTAACGAGGGCACTGTGCAAACATTCTGCTTATGACTCTGGCACAGTGTTTCCGTTACACTGAATTTTTCCATTACGAACTGCTCATGAGAATTTCCAAACTGAGCATCTCATTGTCCCAAAGTAGAAAGGTGAATATAAAAGAACAAACATGTGTTCTATAAATGCTACAAAGCAATCATAATTTGAATAAAGAGATATATATACTGATTTGGCTGAGGAAACTTTGACTAAATTAACTGAGATGTCTTTATTTTCTGTAATAGAAATAGATGGTCCTCTTGTTCTGTTATTTCTTGAATAACCTGATACCATGTTATTTTGTTCAGAGACTTCTTCAAAACAATGGTTGTTGCTAGGATCTGAACTAGTACTGGGAGAAAATAGATCATTTGTGACAAAAAGAGATAGGGAAAATTGTAGTATTACATAAAGCAGTATGACAACTTCCAACTGATTTAAAAATCTATGTCCTAATGATCCCAATTTACTTTTTCTGCTAGATGCTTCAAAATTGCATGGAAGTTGGGAGGCAGCCTTTTTGAAGTAAATGCTAACTTTTCAATGTCTTGATTAAATATCAACCATTTGCTCATTTATGTACGTGCATCTTACTAGTGACACTGAACCACTATCTTAAACCAATTAGCAATGCTTCATTAATTTTAACAACACTTCCTAAATGATACACTACCATATAATTTCTAAATCACTATTACCCGCTTGGGAACTTGCTTTTTATATTAATGGTTAAATCTTTTTTTTTTTAAAAAAAAAAAGGTGATGTTTCTAAAACCCCAACATTTCTTTTGAAATTCCTGAGCATTAAGCAGGTTAACTTACATTTGTCTTTGAAACACTGCTTCTTCAGGACTTTGAACACTGTACTCTTATCTGAATTCTGTATGTCCTTGTTTGTTTATATGTTCTCTTCATTTGTAAGGTTAATGAATATACATTTGTCAGCAGGGCCATCATTTTTAAGAGGAGTCATAGTTTTTTAAAGGGTACTCCTTTGTAAAAATTTCCCAAATTTAAGAATTTACTGTTTAGAAAACAAGACCAGGGGTTTTGCCCCAGAGAAATCATAAGCTTATGTTAAATACTTAAAAAAATATACTAATATATACTTTTTCTTCTTTTGGATTGATATAATTGTATCTAGTCACATGTAACAAAGTTTTCCTGTGCACACAAGATTTACCCACTTTTGGACTGGTGTCCGTCTTGATCTTCAAGCAAAGCCCCCGTAGAGGGAAAATGCCAGTAACTTTAAAAGAAGATGCTCACCTTCACTTTGATAGCTAAGCCACAAGAATATTTAAAAAGACCAAGAGAAGAAGAAAGAAAACCCTTCTTGCAGAAGCAGGTGCACTACAAAGCTCAATTAGTTCACGGACTGAGGACACAGCTTTTTATAAGTTTTTTTCTCCACTGGGAACAGTTTTTTGAGTCTTCCTCTCCCTGCTCTCCACCCCTCCAGTCCTAACTAGGTTTTTTCTTTTTTGCTTGTGAGAAGGGGGGGGGGGGGGAAGTGGCCAGGAAAGGAGTATTCGGTGCATTTACCGCCGGTTTCCTATTTTCAGTACATTTTACTCTTCTCTAAATGGCTTCCCACTATCCCTAGCCACAGAACCGCTAGGCTTCCCTCTAGGTCTTTTTGTGAATCTATTTCATGAAAACTTTGAGTCCTCTGTACCCAGAGGACCTACGCAGAATTTCACATTTGATCCTATATCATTTATCAACCCTCCAAAGCTCACCTTCGGACCCTAAGTTAAAATGTTTGAGAGTCAAAAGGCAAGGAGCCCTCGAAAACACCTTTCAAGAGGCTCAACTACCTCCTCCTCCTCCTCCTTGCAAGGCTAGCGGGAGCTCGGACTTGGACCAGAGGAGGTGGATCCCAGCTACCCACTGGCTGACTGGCTCGGATCAGAGGAAAAGTTAACTTCCAGCTCCTTGCTCCTTGCATTTCTCCAAAGCCCATCCAGTCTGCGCTCGACCCGACCTGGGCCAAGGCCTCAAAATCTGAGTCCGGGCAACACAAGTGTGTAAAGAAAGCGCCAGGGCAGCCCCAGGGCACCGCGGATCTCGGCACACGAGCCCCCCTCCAGGGCCGGCCCGGGCTCTCCGAGGCACTTTCCGCAGGTTTCAGCCTCGGAAGCCCGGTCTCCTCCTTAGCAACGCGCGCGCACTCCGCCCCAGCCCGCGCGGGGTGCACCGCCGCCGAGGCTCCCCCAAACCCCAAGACCTCGGCGGGCGCGAGGCGTCCCCGCGGCGGGGGGTCCTTACCTTGGGGTTGGCCAGGAGCTGGTGCTCGTCGCTGTGCAGCAGCGCGCGGGCGTTGGACTCGGAGTTGTTCACGTAGACCTGCACGCAGGGGTACTGCGCGGTGCCCCTGCAGTCGGCGCCACAGGTGAAGGTGCACTCGAACAGCTCGCCCAGCTGCTGCACCGACAGCACCGTGCAGTTGGCCGCCGTGGCTTGCAGGTCTTGCAGCGCGGGGCTGAGCCAGCAGAAGCCGAAGATGAAGAGCGACACGACGCCCGAGATGATGAGGAACAAGCCGAGCCGGATGCTCTTGTCCTCGGCTTCCGTGTACTCGTAAGCCACCCGGAGCTTCGCCATCGCCCCCCGCGCCCGCCGGCCGGCGCGCTCCCCCCGCCCGCCCCCTCCCTCCGCCCACGGCCCGGGCGGGAGGAGCCGCCGCCGCCGCGACAGCCGGGGAGTGGGCGGCGGGAGGCAGCGCGAGAACAAAGGCGCCGAGGCCGGCGGCGCCCCCGCTCCCAGCCCGGCCGCCGCCGCCGCGCTCACAGCCGCCGGGCCCCGCACCCGCGGGCGCGAGGAGCGCCCCGGCCGCCCGGGCCTCCAGCGCCCCCTGCCAGCCGCCCGCGCGCCCGCCCGGCCGCCCCCGCCCGGGGCCTCCCGGTCCGCATCGCGTGCCGGGCGAGCTGCCCCGAGGGCAGGAACGGCTGGTCCGAGGGAGCGGGAGGGGGTGGGGGGCGGCACCCCGAACCCGAGGCGGCCCCGCCCAGCCGCTCCCTCCCGGGACCCAGCCGCCCCGCCCCGCCCCGCCCCGCCGGGGGCGTCTCCGGGGATGGGGGGGCGGGGGTCCCGGGGCCGCGGGCGCCGAGGACGGCGGCTGGGGATGGTCCTCCTTCAGTTCCTTTGCAGCGACGTCCGAGACGAAAGCTTAGGGTCAATGTGGCCGAACGGGAGTGGAAGTTAAAGAAAGAAGAAGAAAAGAAAGAGGGGGCGTAGCGCACGCAGAGCGGCGGGAATCTTGAACCCAGAGGCTCGGCGGCAGCGGGGAGCGAGCAGCGGGCGCTCCGGGAAGCCGGCGGCCGGAGCGGGACGGGGGTGGCAGCCCCGCGGGCGGCGGTGCTGGGGCGCCCGGGAGGGACCCCGCCGCTGCCTCCTCCCTCCTTCCCCCCTACCCCCGGGGAGAGCGCGGTGTGTGTCTGCCCGCGGGGTCCCGGGGCTCCCACCGCGGGGCTGGCGCCGGGGGCGCAGAGGAGGGCATGGGGACGGTCAGCGGGGGCTGCGGGGCGGGGGCTGCGGCTGGTGAGGCCCGGGACCCTCGCTGTCTGCATCCCAGTGACTTCGCAGCAGCTTGTTTCTTGCAGTTGGTCCACCCCACCTCGATTGGCCCCATGGCTGGGACTGGCTGAGCCGGGGGAGAAGGAACCCAGTGGAGAAGCTTGCAGCCCTAGGAGGAGCCGCCACTGTCTCGTTAGGACCGGCCCCTCGCTCGGGACTCCCGAGAACAGCATCCTTCCCGTGCAGCTTCCCTCACAGGAGTCCTGCTGCGCTCGGCCCGCCCGCCCGGGGCTGTAGAGGGGCGTCCCCGGAGCGCTGCGCAAGGGACCCGCTTTGGGACCCGCTTTGGGACCCGCTTTGGGACCTGCTTTGGGACAGGTACTGCTCCAGAGCTGCGTCCTGCTCTCAACTCTTCCGACTGCTCCGCCACCACCATCTTCTCGCGCCTTCTTCCTTCAGCCACTATTCATGACTCTTAAAATAAATAAATTAAATTAATATATATATATATGTATATTGAGTATATATATATATATATATATATATATATATATATATATATATAATTTCAGAGAGGAAGGGAAAGGGATAGAGAAATAGAAACATCAGTGATGAGAATCATTGACCAGCTGCCTCCTGCCCGCCCCCAACTGGGGACCCAGCCAGCAACCGGGACATGTGCCCTTGGTCTGAATCTAAGCCTGTCCCTTCAGTCCGCAGGCCTGCGCTCTATCCACTGAGCCAAACCAGCCAGAGCCATGACTTCTTTTTTGAAATTAAGATTAATTTTTTTCAAACCACATTCTATCCTAATATCAAACTAGAGGATGACTTCGGCCTCTTTAGGTAATCAAAATGTTCACTTCTTTGCAAAATATGTAAACACACCCTTTTCTTGACTTACAAGTCTTGAATCAGTTATGTTCCTGATGAATATGAAAATTATGGAATTCTTGACGTCTCTTTCTTGGATTTCAATTGCTACTTCACTGGTACTGAGTACCTTTCAGCTGGGGCAGAGCAAATTTAAATACAGGAAGACCCCAAGAGTTTTTCTGAATAAATTAAGATCTGGGGTTTGGAAATTTTTCAACTTTTTACTTTTTTACTTTTCAAGTTTTGAGAGAGTAGATTTCCTTTTTATTTTTATTTGTTTATTTGTTTGTTTGTTTGTTTTTTAACCTAGGGATTATGTTACAGCTTCACCTGAGAGCTCTTCAGTCTGGATCTCTTTCCTATTGAGGTTATGAATAATCTTCCTTTTGGGAAGGCTAAAGCCAGTCTAGACATAAGATCCAGTTGTTCTAGCTTGGTATGCTGAGCAACTTAACCTTGAGGCAGAATTAACTCCTATTAGAGTTCAGAAAACAAGGATGGGATGTCTAAATATAATTTAATGAACATGATTCACTTTTCAATGAATGAACCCGCTGCCTCAAATCTGAAGATGGTCTTCCCAGTCTAGAAAAAAAACAAAAACAGAAACTTCTGTTTGTTTTTTTAATATATTTTATTGAATTTTTACAGAGAGGAAGAGAGAGGGATAGAGAGTTAGAAGCATCAATGAGAATCATGGATCAGCTGCCTCTTGCACACCCCCTACTGGGGATGTGCTCTCAACCAAGGTACATGCCCTTGACTAGACTTGAACCTGGGACCTTTCAGTCGGCAGGCCAACACTCTATCCCCTGAGCCAAACCAGTTTTGGCCAGAAACTTCTCTCTTAATTTAACCTTAAATTTTCAAGGGCTTTCAAATCCCCCCCCCCCTTTTTTTTTTAGTTCTTCATTTATTTAGTCACTTTCCTTCCTTTAATGATTCTTAAAGTATTTGAAGAAACTGTTGCCAGCTAGCCTTCTGTTCTTTAAACATTTACTTTTCTTCTCTAATTTCCTACTTTTAAATTAATTGGCTTCTCCTCTGAACCCTTTCATAATCATGTCTTTCTTCAGTCCCCTAAGCCAACACTCTATCCATTGAGCCAAACCGGTCTCGGCCATTATCATGTCTTTCTTATAGAAAGTCAAATATATAAAAAAAGACTTCACAAATAAAATCAGTATTTATTTTACCCTTAATACATACAACACTATGTTTGCTATTAGCTTCTTTTTCTTGAGGTGGGGCTGCCTTACCACATTTCCAAGGAGGATTAGATATGTCAGCCCCTCAGTTTCTGAAAAGGAATCACAATTGACTAAATCAGAATAGAAATAAGAACCCCAGGGGCGCTACTCTTATAGAGGGCAGAGAGAGCACAGAAACACACACACACACACACACACACACACACACATCCTTTCTTTGCATAATTTCCCACAAATTAAAATTAAGATTAAAAACGTTATATTCAGATGCAGACTGACTTATTTGATGTACATCACAGTGTGCCGCAATGCTTTCGGGAAAATCATGGCCACACCTTGATGAAATCCTTTTTTAAAGAAAAAGGCCAGTGTAAGCAAACATTAAAGCCATTGTTATTTATAATTCGTTCTCATCATCAATATTCTTCAAGAAGTCCTGTAGAGCCCTGGTGGGTAGCTCAGTTGGTTGGATTGTCAGCCCAATACACCAGGGTTGCAGGTTCAACCCCTGGTCAACTTCGAAGAGTCAACTGATGAATGCATAAATACATGGAACAAGTTGATGTTTCCCCCTCTTTCTCTTAAATATCAGTCAAAAGTAAAAAATTTAATAAGCATAACCACTGGACGCAAGGCACTGGGTGTGGGGGGCAAGGGCATGTGCTGAGGGGTTTGGGAGGCAGGGAGGAGGTCAATGGGGAAAAAAGGAGACATGTACTATCTGTAATACTTTAAACAATAAAATATAATTTAAAGACAAACAAAATGTAGTCAAACATGGCAAACTACTGAAGACAGTGCATGCACAAATAAAGTGTGAGGAACTACAAAAAAAAGTAAACAATTTAAAAAAAAGAACCTGTGACTGATGTTAAAGTTGCAATATATAATTGCATATGTATATATACCCTTATTAAAGGATTCTAAAAAGAATTATCATAAGGAGGGCTTTGGTATCCTAGGAATAGAAAGGAATTTAGAACATGTTGGGAAAATGTTTATACACTGGCACATTGGGAAGTTTTTCAATAGCAAACTGCTACTGTATACTTTAATAGCTAAAATACATAAGGGAGAAAATTCATGTTTCACACCCTTTTTTCGTTAGAATTGACTTTCTGGACAGATTTTAGATATTTTCCACTAGATTACTTAGATAAGAATAAACAAATGAAGCCCTGGCCAGTAGCTCCGTTGGTTAGAGCATCTCCCCATAGGTCAAGGTTCCGCTTCCGTCCCCAGCCAGGGCACATATTAATACAATAATCTACCTATGAATGCGTAAGTAAATGGAACAGCAAAAATTGGTAAAATTAAAAAGACTAATGAAAGTATGAGTGATCCAACAAAGAAAAAGTTATAATCAAATTTTAATATTTTGCTTTCCACTTATATAATTGTAGTTTTTGTTATTGTCACAGAAAATGACATTTGGTTTTAAAAATGTGCCAGAAGCCAATTCCAGCATGTCACCAGGCTGATTCATCTGGAGATGGCTAAGGCATTTCCCCAAACCTGAAAAGGATACATACATTGATTGCTTGCTGCCAGAGAGCTGAGGGCATTTCAATCTACATGTTATTGCCTCCTACAGGGCAAATTCTTCCAATCTGACTCTGTGGACCAAACCCTAACCTTTGATGTGTAAATCTCCACCTTGCCTTAGAACAAATTGTGTTAATTTGGCCTGAGCATTAACAATAGTTTGAGATAAGATAGTTTTAATATTCTATCAATAAAAAGCAAGGGGTCCTGAGACAGAGAGAACTTAGTACCTTTAGCTAAATCTTCTTTCACTCCCTATAATGCCTTCCAAAATTATGTTTCATCTCTGAACTCTTGATTAATTTATACACAGAACTCTTGATTAATTACACAGTGCCTTCTCCAGATTGCTGAACCCTTCTAGATGCAGATCAGAAGCCTGGCAAAAATGTTTGCATTGTTCTAAATCATTTCCAGTGTACTGATATCTAGAAATTAACTTTCTTGCCCTGGTCAGTTGTGGCTAATTGGTTGGGCATCATCTTGTGCATGAAAGGGTTGTTGATTCAATTCCTGACCAAGGCCACACGCCCCAGTTGCAGCCTAGCTTCACAGTAGTGGGCAGGCAGAGAAAAGCCAATGGATGTTTGCTTCTCCTCCCTTCCTCTCTCTTTAAAAAATCAATAAATATTTTTTATGCTATGCTTCATTGTAAATGCTAAATATTTATTATTAGCCTCAGAATTTAAAATTTAAAACAAATTTC